TGATAGAATAAAACACTACATCGCTCTGCAATGACCAAACTGAGGATAAGTACCCATCACTTATAGACTGAATTCGGAAGGTACAATAATGTACCAGCCTTTGATAGAAAACTGAAAATGGGCAATACTTTTACTTGGATTGACAACGTTGAACAAGAAATTTGATTAAAATAAGATATATGGTCATGTGAGATCATTAACATGCATAACTTTCATATCTGTAACACTGTTGCAGAACGGAGCATGCAACCAGTGCCATAATGAAGGCATCAAGCAAAAACTGTAACTGACATAAGAAATATATGATCATGTAACTTCATTAATATGCATAAGCACATGTCTAATTATATATTCAAAAAAAAAAAACCTATCTCGATAACCGAACCAGGTAAATACATAGAACCAACAGCATTTCGACCTCATGGTACAGATCATTCAAACTACCCCAATGGCAACCGAGTGACAACATTAATTATGGAATATGTCTGATACCTTGGGCCCTGATGACGCTACTTGCAGCTTTAATTCTTTTTTCTTGTTTTTTTGTTTTGTATGTTACTTTTTACACTGTTTCAAAGGCCAATAAAATATTATTATTATTATTAGCCCCCACCCGGGAGGGGGCTTGTAGTTTCGCTTTCATCAGTCAGTCAGTCTGGAGTGATTTCTCGGAAATGGCTGGAACGCTATGTTTTTGAATCTTGGTACAAAGACATAGCGGTCAACCATAATGTGCACTTCAATTTTCCGATTTGATCAAATATGGCTGACTGGCAGCCTATTTTAATGCCAAAATTCAGTCAAATTCGGTTTTTGTGTGTCCATCATCATTTCTCAGAGATGGCTTGACCAATTTTGTTGAGACTTGTTACAAAAACAAAGGGACCACCTATACGTTGTTTTACTTTTTTGAAATGATCAAATATGGCCAACTGGCAGCCATTTTGACTGTTAATCATGGCATTTGTATGTCCATTGATATTTCCAAGAGATGCCTTGACTGATTTCAATGATACTAGGTACAACGACACAGTAAATAGGGTATACATATTCACATAGATTTATTTCCTGATTTGATCAAATATGGCTGCCTGGCGGCCATTTTGAATGTCAAAATCCTGTAAAATCCAGTTTTTTGGGTGTGTCCATCATCATTTTTCGGAGATGCCTGAACTGATTTTGCTAATACTTGGTACAAAGACAGAGTGACCACTGATACAGATGCACATTGATTTATTTTTTCAAGTAATCAATTAATGAGCTTGTTTGCATATTTAATTATTAATTTGAATTCTTGTGAACTAATAGTCCAAATCAGACCAAACTTGGTAGCGACTTGATTTGTCAATATAAGATATAAACTATACAATATTGAGTTTTAAATTAATTAACAAGCTCATTTGCATATTTAATGAATTGTGAATTGTCCAAATGAGACCAAAAGTGGTATAAACTTACTTGATCTGTCAATATACGATATGTGCTATGCAATATTGTCAACTTATCAACTTAATTTATATCAACTTAAAGGAAACATCAAGCCAAACAACATAATGACCCCTAAAGAAAAAGCTCCACAAATGTAGAATACAATTTACAGTTTTTTTATATCACTTTTTATTCTCTAGATATTCAACTTTTCATCACTATTATGTAGTCAGCCATCTTGATTTTCAAGCAAAGGATTATTGGCAAAGTATGACATCATAGAATCTGTTGTCAGAAATTGAGCAAAATGATTTCATCTATAACTTCAAAAGTTGAACTTTATATTGGCTGAAAGTTTAGAACATGTACTAATGCCAAACATGCTTATAAAATAGTTGTCATGGAAACAGAACTGAAAATATTTATATTCATGTTTTTCTACCAAATGCTCAAATTTCCTCATATTATATACAATTTCCCAATGTGAGTGGGTTATATAGGTGATATATTACCTGTTGACCACAAAAAGGGGACAAAAAAGTGTCATTCTACA